CCCCCTCCCCCCTCCCATGTGTGTGTGTGTGTTGTGTGTCCCCATCCCCACCCATGGCTACAACTACATCGGCAGAAAAGGCAAAACCGAGATCGGTCAGCTACACCTAATGAATGTGTGTGTACCTTCCCTGTGCCAACCCCACCCAGTTAACCCATCACCCATTCACGGCAGCCACCCCCTCGGCCCTTTGTCTCGACGACCGCCGCTTCAGCCGAGGCGCATCCACATCAGCACCGGCGTCCATACTCACATCCACATTGCCCCTCTGGGCCCAAATGGGTGGGCTTGGAACAGGCAGACCACCACCCTTGCGTGGTGGTAGTGGTGGTGGTGGTGGGGCAGCAGGCGGCAGCAGGGGCGAGGTCCATCCCTCGCCTGTCGATGGGCTCGCGCGCCTGTCGCGTGACGACTGCCGGCGTGACTTGGCCTTGCCCTCGGGCGACGGTGGGCTGGGGAGGGGGTGGTTGAGGTGGTTGGTTGGCTTGTTGTTGGGCTGTTGCTCCTCCACTGGTGTGTCGGTGCTGTCCACCATCATCATGTTGGCGTCTTGTGACACGCAAGCCGCTGCTGCCATTTCTTCATTACATGACGCACGGAGAGGGGGCTTGGGAGGGGGAGAGGGTGGGAGGGGCAGGGCAGGATCCTGCTGCTGCTGCTGCTGCTGGTGTCTGGTGAGAATGGGTGGGGGCTGTGGGCCAGGTGGTGGTGGTGGTGCAGTGTCTTCCATGGTGCTGTCGTGTGCCGCTTGGCCGCCGTGACCACCTTGCTGGATGTGTGTTGCGATGGAGGTCATGACGCACTTGATGGCGAGCAGGTGTGGGAGGGTCAGGAGGGCGGCCTTGTCTTGGAAGACCACGAAAAGCCGCAGCGTGTGCAGCAGGGTGTCGGGTTTGACGTGGCGACTGATGGTGGTCCTGTACACCTGCAGCCACCAGCCATCCATCCACACGAGTGAGAGGTGTGCAGGCAATGGTTCGGTTCGGTTCGGTTCGCCGTCTGCTGCTACCTGTGTGTCTTTGTGTGCGATGCATCCGATGAGCAGCGCCACGTACGCCATGGTGAAGTGGTTCTGCATCATGACCTCACCCACACCCATCGCCGCACTCACACCCGCCGCATCAACACCCACACCAGACAACACGTCGTCCTCCTCACCTGCACCACCCATGAGCACCTACGTCACGTCAGTGCAGTGCAGGGGTGGCACTCGCTCACCCGGCTCCTCCACCGCTTTGGATGGCGTCTCGTCGATGATCAGGTCCTCCTTGGCACACAGCTCTTCGTAGAGGGCCGTGTGTGTGCGGCACAGAGCCGTCAGCAGATCCTGCTGCTGCTGCTGCTGCTGCTGCTCAGAACCACCACCATCATCAGCAGCAGCCGCCGCCGCCGCCGCAGCAGCAGCAGCGGCCCGCTGCTGTGGCCGTTCTTCAATGTCGTCCTTCCAGCCGCTCCATTGAAAAGCGCCCGCAGTGGTCACGCGACAGTTGAGCAGATAGCTGCGGTGCGCCGCACACCTAAACACCCGCACACACACTCACACACATGGGGGTGTGTGCATCCTCTCTCACCCTCAGACACACCCACCTGTCAGCAAAGTTGATGAGGCAGTTCATGAGCATGATGCGCAGGTCGACGTCAGCCATGGCCGCGCGGCCCTCCAGCAGACCCACAAGCGACTGCGCGAGGGACGGGCCGTCAACCACACAAGTCAGGACCTGCCGCGCCTTCTCACGATGATGCGCGAAGACCTGGGACACCTGCCCATAACATCCATAGGGTGAGGGGGCCTCTCTGTGTGTGTGTCGGTGGGAGTACTCTGTTTCTGTTGATGTTGGCCATGAGTGCGTGGCACCACCTGGCCGACTTGATCGTCAGGTTGCTGAGGATCTTGACGCACGGGGCGAGCAGTGGGTGAGCATCACTGCTGCTGCTGCTGCTGGTGGTGGTGCTGGTGGTGCTGTCGGACCTGGACCGGCACACCACCTCCCAGATGATGCAATACAGCTGCATTCCACACACACACCACACACACACACACACGCAAGAGAGAGAGAGAGAGAGAGTGGGGGGAGAGAGAGAGACGTACATGTCAGCTTGTGTGTATGTGTGGGTGGGTGAATGGGTCCGCACCTGTGCGAATGGCAGGTTGCCGAACCCCCGCAATCGCTCAATGACACATGAAGAAAGAGCTGCGGGGGATCGGGCATCAGCATCACCAGCACCGCCACCGCCACCACCACGTCCACCACCAGCAGCCGCCGCCATGGCCCCGCCGTCATGCGCGTGTGGGTCGTATGTGTAGGTGTCCAGGAGGGAGGAGAAGACGGACTCGTCGGCACCACCACCCCAGCCCTCTCCCTGGGTCTGTGTGCGCATCTGGTTGTGGATGGCGTCCTGCTTCTCCTTGGTGTGCATGAAGTCGCTGTCTGAGGCCAGCTCCAGTAGAGACAGCCAGAAGGGCAGCCGCGTGCTAATCACGGTCCCTGCTGCTGCAAAGTTAGAAGGCCCCACACACGTGTGGATGTTTGTCTGTGTAGCTCTCTTACAAGTATGTGTTATGTGTGTGCGTACGTGTGCTGTCGGGTATGGGCGGTGTGGCTATGGCGGTGAGCATGTCGTCCACGATAAAGGGGTAGAAGTGGCGCAGCAGAGAGGCGGCGAACTTGAAGGCCATCAATACGTGAGGACTGAACATACAAACGAATGAACCACATGCACTCCCTGTGCCCTGTGGATCGTCGGGCGCGGCACCTGGGCGCCCTGACCTGGTGTTACTGCCGGGGTAGTGCCGATGCAGCAGCGCCCTGTGAATGGTCTGCATGAGCATCATGACCACCTCTCTCGTACCACTGCCACTGCCACCCTCCCCCACGCATGAGAAGTCCATGTCGCCCCTCCGCGGCTTGCGGCACTTGGCCAGCAGCGCACGGACGCGCGGATGCATCGGGGGGGCGGGGTGGTGCTGATGCTGACACTCAGGAACCGGCTGACGCACACACACACATGAAGAGAGAGATGGATCAGATCGCCGTGTGTGTGTGTGTGTGTGCGGACCTCGAGTGGATTCGTGTTTGTCATGGCCATATGTGGGTGTGATTGTGGGAGTGTGTGTCTCTTGTCGCCGCTGCTGGTGGTGGTCTTGTCGCTTCTGCTGCGCTTGAGGAAGTGCCGTAGAGGCGAGCGTGACGACGCACTCGAGCATGCAGATGGGGCGGGGGAAGGCGATCGCAGCTGCTTCCCGTAAAGCCTACACACACACACACGCACGCACGCACACACACACGCGGAAGGGTGAGTGTGTCTGTGTGTGGGGCTGGGGCTGGGGCTGGGGCTGGGGGGAAGGAGAATGAAACTCATTGCTCACTCAGGCGAGTCGCATCCGCTTGCTGAGGAGCCGCCCTCGGTCCTCTCTCTCTTGAGCGGATTGGTCTTGCGCCGCTTGAGCATACCCATGCCGCCAGCAGCCCCCGCCATGCTCTCGTTGTCCTGCGACTGTCGCGATGGCGATCCCATCAACTCTTGGGAATCCTGCAGAGCAGACAGTGTGTGTGGCTGCCTGCGTGGATGTGAGAGGTGGAGTGAGTGGTGCTGTACTGTACCTCCGCCGCTGCTTTGCTGACGGTGATTGAGGGCCCGCCGCTGTGCTGCTGTTGATGCAGTGATGGGGATGTGGTCATTGTGTCGGATGGGAGGTAGAAGGAGAGGTGCAGCAGGTAGAGCAGCGCCACCTGGCCCCCATCCTTCAAAAGGTCCTCCAGGGCGCTCTGGCAACACGAACACGATGAGCATCGGATGCAGGGGCACTTTTCTTGTGTGCGTGCGTGACTCCCGCACTGCACTCACTCGGTCGAGTGATATATTGTAGTAGGCGGCAACCACCAGGCCAAAGAGATCCTGACGACACGACGCGCACACATCGTCCGTCCGTCGGGATCGTCCATCCATCCACCTACGCTATGCATACGGCTGTGCACGGCCGTGATATATATCACTTACGAGGTCTTGTCGCGGGAGGGCCCGGACACACCGCCCCAACAAGGCCATCAGCCGACCTGCAGCCAGTGATGTGTAGACAACTAACTAACGTGTGCGTGTGAGCGTGTCTCTGCGGTGCGGTGCGATGCGGCATGACCCCCTCCCCCCACCCATGTGGTCCTTCATCCGCAGCGCGAATCGCCTGTCAGGCAGCATCAGCTCACGCGCAAGCTCCTCCAACCTTACACAACAACAAAAAGCATAGCATACCTCACACACACAAATTTCGCTCCCTCTCCCTCTCCCTCTCAAACAACAGCGTACGTCTGTCTGAAGGCATTCGTGGCCCTGCTGCCCAGCAATGCTGGCAGCGCGTCGAAGTACCACCTCCAGCCGTGCTGCGGCATGGCAGATGGCGGGCGGCTGGTGGACGATAGCGATGCCGATGGTGCCGCTGATGGCAATGTTGGCAGAAGGTGTGTGGGGGTGCTCTTGTGCAGGTGGGACATGGCCAGGGATATGTGGTCAAACGATGCCTGCGCCTCCTGCAAACAGATGCCACACAGAACAGACACACACGAGTTCAACAGTCCAGCAGTGTCACTCGTGTGCTGTGTCTGTGTGTGTCTGTGTGTATGGGTTTGTGGGCGGCTTGTGTCACCTACCCCAGCATCTCTTCTGGCGAAGGAGGTCAGCGCTTCGGCCGGGACTGACGACTCATAGGACTCGCGGTGGGCATGATGGGAGGATGAACCACCCCTGCACACACACAACAGAACACCATAATGACCGATCACTCACTGCTGTCTGTCTGTGTGTTCTGTGTGCTGCAGGCAATGCATCGCGGACAGCACACACAGCGTCAGTCAGTCAATTCATCTAGGTACCTGTTGGCTGCGAGTGCTTCAAACAGGGCAGCAGCCTCGTCGTCTTCGTTCTCATTGTCCTCCTTCTCGCCGCCGTCATTCTTGCCGCTGTTGGCACCACCATCGGCGGCCTGCTCTGCCGCCTTGTCGCCACCCTCTCCTCTCCGCTCAGACTCATCTTCCTGATTGCAGCACACCAAACCACACCACACCACGCTGTGATGTGAGCGCAGTGAGGCGAACTTCCCTCTCTCTCTTCTCGTGTGATCTAATCTCACCTTGACTGCGATGAGCGGCGGCCGCTTGCTGGTGTAGAAGCCGTACATAATGCCCTCAGCGGTTTCTCCGGAGATGCAAGCTTTGCAGTTCTCCGAGTCCCGTCTCAGCCCCCACGTTGCCCACACCGATTTGTGTTCTGCGCATGTCGGCGTCCCCTTCAGTGTCAGGCAGCAGCCCCTCCACCAGGAGTGAGGGCGGGGGTGAGCAGCCGCCCGCTGGCCTGCACACTGTTATCCCCTCACCGGACTCATCCCAGCACTGCCAGCAGCTGTCGGTCTTCTTCTTCGGGAGGAGGGAGTGCGGGTACTGCACTGTATGTTTGTGTGTGTTCAAGCTTAATTGTTCAGAAGTGATGAATGCTGGGTGGTCCTTGTGTCCATCTCTCTCTCTCTCTCTCTCTCTCTCTCTTTGTGTGTGTGTGTGTGCAGGCCCGCTGCTGATGGCCTGCGTGACGTGTATCCGCCGATAAGGGTGGACCCGCCATTTACACACGACAACACTGAACAGACAGTGTCTGTCGCGTGTGCCAGGTAGGTAAGGTACATTACCCCACTCTCTCTCTCTCGCATCCCATGCCCTGCACACCACACGCTTCATGAAGGGCACATGACATTTTTGTGTACTGTACCCGATGCGCTCGATCACCCATTAATTCCATTCACTGCAGGCGTGCGTGTGCAGTGGTGGGCGAGTCGGGGAGTGTGTTCTGCTGGGGGAGGGGGGTGGACGGCTTCCACGCCCCGACACACCTCGCGGCGGCCGACAAGACATGTAAGTAGCTAGGTGAGATGCAGACACACACAGACACAGAGAGAGCCAGCCAGACAGACAGACAGACAGACCGATGTGTGTGTCTGTCTGTCTGTGTGTGGTGGTTTCTTGGCAGCGAGGCCGGCGTGTGTGTTTGGCGGGCACAGCGACCTGCTGAGTGCGGTGCTCAAGGACGGCAGTGTAGTGCTGTTTGAGCCAGCAGCCAGACAGAAGAGAAGACAGCACGCAGAGGAGGGACCGGCACACTCACACAAAGCAGCGGTGCGCACAATGTAGGCATCCCATCCAAGACACACACACATATGCGGTGCTTGTCTGAGTGTGCCGACAGGCAATTGCTTCCCACCATCGCAAGAGCGATGTCCTGCCTCTCAGCAAAGGTGTGCAGTGCACCAGAGAGAGGCACACACACGCACACGCAAATCGTCCGTCCACTCTTCTGTCTGTTGCAGGCAGCAAAGTGTCCCAAGAGACAACGGCGGAAATCTTCATCTCCTCCCGCCACTCATCCATACGCAGGAGCACATTCATCGGCCCACAGCAGAAGAGCGCCGGGAATGTGAGACACCTGAAGCTGTGCGCACCGGTCGACAGCGTTGCTATGGGGGTGGGTGAGACGAGAAGAGCGGAAGGACGTCTGTCTGTGTTGGGCCCATGTGGTGTGTCTGGTGTGTCTGTGTGGGGGTCTGCTATGCAGGCCACCCACGCTGTCTTGTTGACCGCTCACCATGCGTTCGTCATGGGTTCCAACCAGTGAGGGAGATGAGACCACACACAACTTACTTCAACCAAGACACACACACTGAACCATTGACTGGTTCACACGCAACACAGGTTTGGCCAGCTTGGCTTAGGGAGGGACGTGCTTGAGGCCGCCACACCTGCCCCCCTCCGCTCAATGGGCGAGCTGCGCGCCGCAGCGTGTATGTGGTCTGTGTGTAGACAGCTGAGGAGGGAAGGAGGGAGAGACACCTCTGCTGTGACAGCACACGAACACTCGTGTGCGTGTCACTCATGGCGTGTGTCAGGTGGTGATCACCACACTGTGTGCGTCACGAGGGCCCATCGCGTGTTTGTCTTCGGGTAGGTAGGGACTTACTGGACTCGACTGGACGGACACACCAATATATATTCGATCCACCGACAGTCATTCATTGTGTCTTAACTGTCGCCTCGCTGCTCAGTGAGGGCTCCTTCGGCCGTCTGGGGCTGCCCTCCCACGTAAGGAATGGGATGTCATTCAGCCAGCAGAGGTGGCTGTCTGTCTGTCTGTCTGCAGGTGCCGCTAGATCCGATGGACGACGGCCCGTATGTCGGCAAGCAAGTCATGACGCCGCAAGAGCTGGGCCTTTTCTCTACGAGTGGGCCAAAGGTGAGCCAAAGGTGAGTGAGTCGGTGCTCACTCCCGTGCCCCCCTCCATCCACCCAGCCCTCTGTGTGTGTATGTGTGTGTGTGTATGTGCAGGTGACGCATGTGGCGTGCGGATCGGCACACACACTGGCCCTCACTGCTGAGGGGAAGGTTTTCGCTTTTGGCAAGAACAACACGGTGACTGACTGAGACACACACAGAGAGACAGACGGAGACACAGAAAGAATGATAGACACACACGCAGGGCCAGCTGGGCGTAGGGCATTTCACCGACCAGTACCTGCCACACCTGATACAGCCGTCACTCTTCAGCCAGACAGGTAAGGTACAGTACCTTCCTCCCAGCCCCACGATGCACTCGCTGCATACAGGCCACCGTATGCTCCCTGCAGGTACCAAAATCCGGTCTATAGCCTGCGGCCGCTCCCACAGCGTCTTCATCGACGACACACACACCCTCTATGCTGCCGGTAAGTAGGCAAAGCAAGCAGCCAAGAACGCCCCTCCTTCTCTCCCCAGGTGTGTGACACATTCATTTAGGTGAGTCGAACCGGGCTCAGCTTGGCCTTGGTCCACTGGTGAGTGGTTCGTCGGTGCCCGGTCGCGTGACGGCGATGGACGGATGGCGGGTGGTGCGGGCGGCCTGCGGGGAGGAGTTCACCGTGTGTCTCGCGAGACGACGACCCCCTGCTCAGACTGTGGGTAGGTGTATGTGTGTGGATGTGACGCCGCCCTGCTGTGTGTGTGTGCATGTCTGTCTGTCTTTGTGCGTGCAGTCCCCATTGACCAGTCGCACGCCCAGGAAGAGGAGGACAGTGACAAGCGTGATGCGAGCAAGGGAGCTGGGTTTGACTCGTGGAGGCACCAGGTGCACCTGCAGCTGCTCAGACAAGGACCGGCCAACGAAAAGGTAGGCACAGCCCATCACATATACATAAGGAATGCCTGCCTGTCTCCAGAGACACCCTATGTGTGGGTGTGTGTGGGGGTGATGTGTGCTTGAATTGGAAAGACAGACTCTGCCTTTCGGTTCATCCCCTCGCTACACCCACAACGCTTCTGTGCACTACCAGGCCCTAAGAGACCGCCTCACCATCGATATCGACAGTATTGACAGTGCTGACACTCACCACAAATGGACACCGGACAAAGGGACACCTGATGAGAAGGGGAAAACACTCATTGTCAGCAGGTGGGCGGAAAGACAGAGCATTCTCTATTCCCCTCTCTCTCTGTCTCCCTCCCTCGGTGTGGTGTTGCAGGCCGTTCTCGGCAGGCACTGACGTGAGCACCAAGACCGGCAAGACGTCTCCTGCTTCTGCCGACGTGCCAGCAGCGCCTCTTACAGCAAGGGGCGGCGTCACGCACATCGCCCTGGACACCACGCCCAGGTGACGTCACACAGCACCTCAAATCAACAATGTTGGTTGGTGCGGGGGGTTGTGTGTTGGCAACGTGCGTGCTTCTCTGTGCTGTAAGCACACCAACAGGTTTGCCGATACGCGGCGGCCGGTGTCTGCCAATGCGCACCCGCTGCTTTTCCACCACGCAGACCGGGCCGAATGTGCGCAGCGCACGTCACCGGTGTCGGTATGGATGCGTGTGTGTGTGTGTGTGTGGTGCAGGTCATGTGTCAGGCGGCCGGGTGCAGTCGCCTGCACACACATTCCCCCCACCACGACTGCGCACGCCAGCGGGCAAGACGTACGTACGCTTCCACGAGCCACCGATACAGACACATGTGTGTGTGTGTACGTGTTTGTGTGTGTGGATGGGTTTGTTGATGTGTGCAGCGGCGCCCTTGGCCCCGGCAGGTACAACCTCGACACTGCATTACTTCTGACAACGTGAGTACTCACTCACAGTGCCTCTCTGTCCGTCCACCCACATCTACTCATCTGAACTCATGTGTGGCATCCAACCCAAACAGGCCCCGTCCGCAGCAGCCAGTGCCCTTCACCAAGCTGGCTGCGCGGCAGAGTGTCGTGTCTGCCGGGGTGGGGCCAGGTCGGTGGATGGGACGGGGCGCACAAATGTGTGTGTCACTTCTGGCGTGTGTGTGTGTATGTGTGTGTGTGTAGGTGTGTACAATGTGGCAAGGGCCCGCGATCGGCTTGAAGGAGAGAGGGGGTGCCACTCGGTGCCCGCCACACCCAGAGACACACACCAGTCAGTGAGCCGGCCCATCCCTCGCAAACGGACTCTTCATGGACTGGACGGGGCTGTGCTGGCAGGGATTACTTCCTGCACCCGAGGCGGTTCCCAACCACACCAGGGCCTGGCGAATACAAGTAGCTACACGCATGTGACAGGAATCAATGGCATGTCAGCCTGCCTGCCTGCTTCTGTGTGTATGGGCACACAGAATGACGCACAGCGTCCTCTACACCCGCGCCCCGTCTCTCTCTTTCGACCGCGCCACACGCGCACAGCCGCCTGTGTGCCACACACAAACACACCGACACCCACCGATACAGACACATGTGTGTGTGTGTGTGTGTGTGTCATTCAGCGGCCTGAGACATCATCAGGGCCGTCCCCGCCCGCCCTCACGTCGTCCTTCGCCGAGCACGCCACCGGCGCAGTGACGTTCGCCAACACACCGAGATTCCGCGACCTTGAGAAGCGGGGGAGAAGGTATGTTACCTTGCCCACACGAAGGCGTGTGCACTGTACCTTTCTCTCTGTGCGTGGCTGTGTGGGTGTGGGTGTGGGTGTGTGCATCAGTGTGCCTCATCGGAGAAGGAGGAGCTCCAAGAGATTCGACTCTCTGTGAGTGAGAGAGACACAGATTCGAAAGAGACCACAAGCGACCACCACCAAGCCGCTTGCCTGCCTGCTGGTAGGTGTCAGGCAAGGCTGCAGCTGTGGAAGGACAAGCGCGCACAGACCACGGCCAAGTCCGTTGGCCTTCTTAAGAAGGTGTGTGTATGCCCATTCAATGCCCAATACACAATCACACACACAATCACACGTACAGGTTCGCTACGAACGTGCTCGCAGTCGGCTGTCAATGCTAGAAAGGGAGAAGCAGATGGGCAGAGAACAGAGGGAGGTCAGCACGACCACAAAGCACCCGCACAGCCACCCACACGCACGTCTCTCTCTCTGTGTGTGTGTGTGTGTGTGTATTTGTGTAGGAGGCGCGCAGAGCCCGCCTGCAGCAGTACAGACAGAAGCAGATGGAAGAGAAAGCGCTGGGAGAGAGGCGTGATAGGCAGCTGGTGTGGACGGCAATCTTCTTCCACCTTATGGCCATGGTACACACACACGCAGCACAAAAGGGTGTGGTGTGTATACTTCTGTGTGTGCGTTCTACGTGCAGGCTCGTTTCCGATCACTCAGTGTGCCGTCAGCCCCGCCCCCTGTCTCACCGAGAGACGAGCAGGAGACCCTACACCCACTCAGTACCTGCACACACACACACACACACAAAGTGCATTCGCAATGTATCTCGCAGCTGCGGTCGGGCTGCTGGTTCACTTCCTGCGTGGCTGTGCGGCCGCTGGGAAGGTATCGCGGGCGGTCAAGAGATACCTCCTGTGTTTGAGGAAGGTACGCACAGAGTACACACACATAGGCCCACACGCCATACGAGAACCCGTGTGTGCAGATTCAGCGGTCGTGGCGTGTGCGCGTGGCTTCCCTTCGTGTGTGGCGACGCATACACATGAAGCAGTGGAAGACATTCGTTGCCGCCGCCAGGCACACACACACACACACACACGCACAGAGAGAGAGAGAGAGAGACGTCTGTGGCCATCGGTCCACACAGGAAGGAGCTGTCGAGTCTACTGCGCCGGCAGCAAGCCGGGTTCATCCAGAAGTCGTATTACTCCAACCTCTTGAAGCCTTACGAACAGCTATTCGGCCAGGAGCTGCTCAAGACCATCACAGTAACCATGCCACACACGCACTCCCCCTCTACTACAGTAATGCTCATGACCGTCCGTATAGGTGCGCAGGCAGAGGGAGCGGTCGGCTCTGTTCCGTCTTCTGCGTGAGGGCAGCGAATTCATGATGCACTACAGAGCCACACACTTCCTCTGGGGCACACAAACAGAGGTGAATGAGTCGGTTGCAACACACCCACACACCGATGGATGCATGTGGATGCATTGCGTGTGTGTATGGTGCGGTGCAGTCGGCCACCAAGAGTGCTGCTTTGCGAAGGGATGAGCGCACACACGCCCGGCTGAAGGCGCAGTCCCGTGCGGCCGTCACTTGCTGCTTCTTCATCGACAGCGGCCTCTTCTGGCTGTTCGCCCAGACCTTGTACAAATCCTTGATGACCTTTGTGGCGGCATTTATCGAGTCTGCGCAGCAGGAAGGGCAGAGGCGCAAGACAATCCTGTACACCCACACCCACACACACGAACACACACGGACAGAGACAGACAATTGATGCCCACATTGATAGATGTGTGCTGTGCATCCAGGCCGCCCGAAGGGTCCTCTGCCTCTCTGCTGCCGCCCAAGAGGCATCCCACCTTCATGACGGACGCCAGCGCCGACAACCGGCCGATCTGTGTGGGGCCGTACAGGATAAGACCCGCACGACTCAGAGAGGTCAGCCACCAAGCCAACCACTCATCCAGTACTGAGCCGATGCACGCATACTCGTGTCTCTCCCTCTGCTTTCAACAGGTCGCCCACCGTGCGATTGTTGCTCGTCTAGCTGAGCTGGAAGCACCACCCCCACCACAAATTGCCGAGCCTGCAGCGGCCGAGCAGAAGCCGTCACCAGCACCGTCACCACCAGCACGACCATCATTCGTGCAGCCCTCCCTGCTGACCAAGCTGCAGAGGGCCACACGCGACCTGGCGAAATGGGGTGTGCCCGAGCACATCTGCAAGGAGAGGGAGACAGAGGGGATGTTGACAAAGGCAGACATGAGAAGCCCTGTTCTTGTGTCTTCCTCATCGCATTCGGGAAGTGGCGGGGCCTCGTGTAGTGATGATGGCTTGTCGGAGGGCAGTGATGCGGAGGGTGGTCACGGTGGTGAGTCGGTGCTGACGGCGGCGCAGCAGCTGATGTTTCGGCTGTCGGCTGCTGTGGTTGTTTCTTCGTCAGCGAGAGAGGCGTGAATGGCTCATGTCTCATGTCTGTACGTGTTTGAGTCCGTCCTCGAGTCGCACACATACACGTAGACTGGCTCCCCTAACTAGTAAACGAGTAAGAACCACCTCCAGCTTTGCACGCAACACGTGCATATAAATGCAGGCCGCCAAATAACAAAACAACACACAACACACAACACGCAACACACAACACATGACACACATAGCCAGACGAACTACAAGTTATCTGTTCTGTTCGGGTTATCTCTGAGTCTCTCTCTCTCTCTCTCTCTGTCTCTTCGTCTGCCTGCCAATCAGGTACCACTAGCTACTTACAGGTCAGCGTGCTGGCGAGCAGCTGACAAGGGAGGGTAGAGAGCGTATTGAGCCGAGCAGAAGTCTCCAGACACTCGCACACAGATCCAGCCAACCTGGTGAGCACACAATCATCAACCACACACACACACACTCACACATCCACCACTCCGCACATGAAAGAAAGTGTGTGTTTGAAGAAACAACAGGCAGCACCCCTACGTGTCCTATGGTACACTAGTGAGAGAGTGAGTGAGTCGGTGAACGGCTTGAAGAAAAAGGCTGGAGTACAGTGCATGGCTAGTGAGTGCACTACCGGTATCAAGAGAACCGACATGCACACGCACATGCACATGCACGTGTACGTGGAGATAAACTACATGCAAGTCAGCCAGTGACTCTGCGGTGTCCCTCCCTCCCCCCCCCCTCCCTCTCCCTCCTTCTCCCTCCCTCTCCCTATTCCCCAAGTGCAGGTGAGACGTGTAGCGTGTATCGTGTAGCTATGTGTACATCAAGCATCAAACAGGTTGTGAATTGTGCTGTGCTGTGCCGTGCCGGTCAGGTGGCAGGGGGGAGGTGTGTGCTTTGGCTCGTGCCAGTGTGTGTGTGGGGGGCGGAGTTGTTGCTGCTCCCTTGTGCAGGCTGTGTGGTCTGTGGCACCCACACACCCACATACCCACACACCCACACCATGTCTGAGCCGCTTTTGCGTTGTGTCGTTCTCCTCACCCAGGAGTTGTACAGCAGCCACACCTCGACCAACCCGACCACCATGAGGATGCAGGTGACTCGCCGGCCCGGGGCCCCCTGGTTGCCCGTCGCCCCCTGCCCCGCCATGGTGTTCGTCTGCTGGTGCCTATCGAACGAAACACACATACGCACTCCACCTACCAGTACGTTCTCTCTCGTCTGGTCCTTCTCACCGATGCCCGCACAGGTTGCTGATGGTCTGATTTAATGCGGCGGCGGCGGCGGGGGCGCAGGCCTGGCACAGCCACTTTGCCATCACCATTGCCCCCTCACAGCAGAGGCAGCACCTGTACACGGGCTTGAAGTATTTTTCGAAGAGCGCCAAACCGGCTGCACACACACAAAGCAATACAGAAGAAGCCCAGCCGATTAGATACAATTGATGCTGGCATCTTGGGTGTCTCGTGTCTCGCAATCTGACTCTTTTGGCGAGTAACACGGTCTCGGATGTCGCCCTGACTGTCGGTGCCCCCCTGGCTCTCGGCCTCCCCTGCAACAATTGCACACAGAAGCACTCAAAGCGCAATTGCCAACATTCCAATGTGCACCTACCTGTGCGGTTGGCCGGTCCCATGCCTAGCCCACCCCCTACAACACCGAACACACGCACCCACGTCACACTCAGCCATCGGCTCATTTGCCATCTCACCGCCCCGTTCCATGTCCACCACATGGTGACCGTCTGCTCACACACATGTGATCATTTGCATCATCCCGATAACACCATCCGCCCACTTGCTCACTTACCGCCCGCCGTGTAGATGATGACATCCCCGTCCTTGAACACATGACGGGCCAGCTGGCCGCCCTCGACGTCGGGGAAGCTGCCAGTCAACGTACAAGAGAGATCTAAGCAAATTCGCAGCACCTATGCTGGCGACGTACTTCTGGAAGGCGATGTCGGCGCTCTCCAGCCGCTGATTTTTGCGGAGCCACTCGCGGATGTCGTCGACGGTGGCGGTGTCGTTTTCGGTGAGGGCATTCAGCTTTTCGGCCATCTGCCGTACCCAGCCGGAATGTGACATGAGTTGCCCTCCTCCGTCGGGGGGTCGGGACTCGCTCCGCGTTCGCCGCATCACGAAATGCATGCAAAGCCCCCAAGCTCTGATGAGGCCCCCCAAAAAAGACGGTACCGAAGGGGAAGTCTCGAGGCCCCAATTTGGCCCCAATTACGAACGAACACGAACTTCGGGTAAGAGCGTGCCTCGCTCGCAAAGCTCGCGAGTCCCGAACGGCTCATTGTTGGCCGCTGGTCTGCCGCAGCAGCGGTTTCGGGAAGCACCCTAGGCGGCCCCACAATCTTTGCCAGCGTTTTACGAAGCACCCTAGTCGGTCTGCGAGCTAAACTCCTTGGCACCAAGGAGGTGCCAGGACAGATGCCAGGACAGATGTTGTTTGAAGACGGACAACAGATGTGGTTTCGGTGGTCGGACGGCTGGGAGGCCTTCAACAGCCCGGTGCTGCCCCTTGGGATCAAGACCGTCTGTGACCTGAAGAGGGCACTGTTGAAGCACTATAAGGTGAGGAAGCAAGAGGAAGATGCACCCAACCCAGCCCTCACACACACACACACACACACACACGTACGTTGGTGTGGTTGTGGTGTTACAGCACTGCTACAAGACCGCGAGTGAGGTCGTGCTGTTCGGTCGAGCCGGTGAGCCGTCCACCGACGCCGATGACTACAAGACCCTCGAGGAGTTCTTCGGCGAGATGGGCACACAGGAAGAGCAGCCGATTGTGATTCTAGCGACACCAACCGTGCACAAACTGAGCAGTGAGTTGACTCGACTGAGGGTTTAGGGGGCCCCTCGTCAACTCCGCCGGTGGACCGACTTTCCCTGAGTGGGAGGCATATCACGAGCGGGTCTGCCAGCTTCGACTGCGGTGCGTGAAGGATCTCAGCAAGCTTGGCAACCTTGGCCGCGCCATCGCCGATGCCATCGCTGATGAGGTGGAGAAGATCTCCAAGCTCGAGGCACCGTCCGAGCGGGCTGGCGTCTTCGTCCGCACACTCATCCAGCGAGATCCGGATGTCAAGAGGAAGCGCGATGTCAAGCGGATGCTCTGGAGGCGGCTGGAGATGTGGCAGAAGGGGCAGGTGGAGGAGCTCGTGTGCGAGGCGGAGCGACTGGACCAGCAGTTCCCCACCACTCAGCCTCAGCTGGACGACGCGTCGGTCTATCGCATCTTCAACAAGCTCATGCTCGAGGGCAAGGTCCGGGCGGCCGTCCGCTTCGTCACCGAGAGGGGCGGCGGGGGGGGTCCTCCACCCATCTGCTCAGGCCGAGGAGCGCCCCTTGGGGGTCACGGTGCTCGATGTCCTTCACGAGAAGCACCCACCGCAGCAGCAGCCGCACG